GCTACTGGAATCTAGGGGTAAGGGCCAGGGATGCTGCTAAGCATCTTACAGTGCACAGGACGGTCCACACAGTTACCTGGCCTTAAATGTCAATGCGGTTGAGAACTCTGCTCTGGGAACAGCTTGGGCACCTGGGGGTCGTCCAGGGCCCCCGCCCCATTCTGCAGACTGGGGAGCACGGGTGTTTCTCTGGGGAGCACGGGTGTTTCTCTGGGGGTGGGGGGCAGGGGCCCTGGAAGGAATTGCCAGGCCTCCAGGCCCATTGGTCCCAGGGAGGGATGGGTCCCTTAGTTGTCAGCTCCTCTGGGCACTGGGGCTCCTTTTCCCGTCACCTGGGTTCTGCGCACAGTAGGTGCTGCTCTGTGCCATGGTTGGTGCAGGCGCTGACCGAGCTCTCGGCCCGAGCAGGTGGTCCGGAGGCACATCCTGGGCTCCATCGTGCAGAGCGAAGGCAGCTACGTGGAGTCTTTGAAGCGGGTCCTCCAGGTACGACTCTGGGGCCCCTGGGAGAGGGGGGGGGGCCCGCAGGGACACCTGGCAGGGAGTGTAAGGGGAGGGGGCCAAAGGCCAGAACTTTTGTGGGGACAGCGGGACCTCCAAAGGGAGACATTAAGAATTCCGGATGCCTTGGTGTTCATGGGGGGCCTGCGTTTTCTGAAATAAAGTTGAGGTTCTGTGGAATGAGGGCTGTTCTGGAGAGTCCAGGGCATGGGGTCCTTTTCGTGCCTGAAAGGGACCGTGTCTTCCTCGCCCACCTCTCTGGGAGCCCCTGGGACAGGGCCGTGCCTTCCCGTCGGCCTGGAACCCCCAAGTTGGGGAGTAGGAGGCAGCCTCTCTGGCCATCAGATGCCCAGGGATTGCTAGATGGTCATGTGACTCGGTCCAGGTGTATCCACCTGGTCTGTCGTTTGCATTCCTGAAACGGTGAATCTGCTGGGATGTTGTGGGCTCTCGGAGTGAGGCCAACAGGGAAGAGTGTTGTCGGGGTGGGAGCCATACAGGGGAGCCCAGTCCCCGGACTTCAGGCAGGTAGAGATGAAGATGAAAACGCCTGTGTGCCTGACAAAGCTGGGGGTCAGGGGGGCTCCCCGGGACATCATCGCCTCTGCTCCATCAGACAGACTGGCTCAGGCTCGGGCAGAGCTGAACAGGGCCAGCCTGGCCTTGGGGGCTGACACCATGGAGCTCCTCCCAGCCCAGCTTAACACAGAAGTCAGGGGGTGGGCTGTGGGTGGGCACAGGGGGGCCAGGAGGCTTACATCATGGAGATCCTCCTAGAAGACAGGCGAGGGGGGAGGAGGGAGGGATACCTGCTCCCCCAACAGGAAGGCCCACGCCCGGCCCGCCGAGTTCTCGTTGGCCTTGGCCGGCTCACCCCGCCCGCCCGCCCCACAGGATTACCGCAACCCGCTGGTGGAGATGGAGCCCAAGGCGCTGAGCCTCCGCAAGTGCCAGGTGGTGTTCTTCCGCGTGAAGGAGATCCTGCACTGCCACTCCATGTTCCAGATCGCCCTGTCCTCCCGCGTGGCCGAGTGGGACGCCTCCGAGAAGATCGGGGACCTCTTCGTGGCTTCGGTAGGTGTCCCCAGACTCTCTCCCTGGCCCCCCCACCCAGGGGAAACCACAGCCTGCCTGGCCCTGTGGTCATGTGGGCCAGCCTCCTGCCTCTGCCTGCTCCCCCGTCCGAGTCAGTGGGGTCACAGGGTGGCGGGGCCTGAATCTGCCCTGTGGTCCAAGCCGGGGGTCGGCATGGCACCTTCCAGTGCCCGGTGTGGCCTTGGAGATGGCTGCCGGCGTGGTGCTGGGGGCCTCCAGGGGCCCGGCCGCTGGGGGCAACCACCGGGGGTCTGAAGGTCCCCTGCCGGGCACTCCCGGGTGACCACTGTTGGCGATGCTTAAACAGACCACGCCTGGGCCCCCGGAGGATGTCCCAGGGCGTCGGGGCCTCCTCAGCATGGATCACACTCCAGGAGACCTGGCCTGGCCTCCGCTCGGCTTGGCCATGTCCGGCAGCTCTAGGGCCCTCTCAGACCCAGGTCCCCTCTGGAATGAGGGGTGTGCCAGAAACCCCTGGGCCCCAGAGAGACCCAAGGAGCTAAGGAGGGTGAAGTCGGTGGAACCCCACTCCGACGCGTCTTAGATATTTGGGTTCTGCTAAAAGAGAAAGGATTGTTTAAAACCTGAGTGCTCAGCAGATCCGACACCTGGTCAGTGTGTCCCAGGAGTTTGGGGTCAGGAGCAGCCCCTGGGGGGTGAAGGGCCGGGGGGATTTTATTTTCTGGGGGTGTCACACCTTCATTTGTGGGCGGGGCTGCCGTGCTCTGGCAGGAGGAGCACCAGGCTGTCCTTGTCCCCGCCTCTCCTCCCTGTGACCTGGGATCTCCTGCCCTCTCTGAGCCCGGTCTCCTCCCCTCCCTGGGGTGACAGGTGTCCTGACCTCAGACTAGCTGAGATCCTCCAGGCGTCGTCAGAGCAGTTGAGGTGGCAGTGAGGGTGGGCGGGGTGTGACCCTCCCGTGCCACTCCCATGCCCGTTCCAGTTCTCCAAGTCCATGGTGCTCGACGTGTATAGCGACTACGTGAACAACTTCACCAACGCCATGTCCATCATCAAGAAGGCCTGTCTCACCAAGCCCGCTTTCCTCGAGTTCCTCAAGGTGGGCCTGGCGGTGGTCCGCAGCCCCCTCAACGGGCGCTGGCGGCTGGCGGCGGTGGGGCGGGAGGGCTTTTCAGGAGGGGGGACTTTGGCCCAGCTTCAGGTAGCACATCGCTTTGCGGGGGACACCTCTTTCCTTTGGGGCTCCCACAGTCCCATGGGAAGACAGGGGTTCCTCCTGCCCCCCAAAAGGAGGGGGATGATGAGTGACAGTTAGCCTCTTGGGATCCTGGCTTTGCCAGGCGGAAGGGGAGGCCTGTGACCTCTTGGGGATGGGTGAGATGATGGTGGGTCTGCCGTGGGGAGACCCAGCAGTGCCGGGGCCTGTACCTCTGGCGGGCTGGGCAGGGTGCCTCCAGGTAGAGCTCAGGGTGTCGCTGGGCTGTCCCTTTTCTTATTTAAAAAAATAGATTTTTATTAATTTCAGAGAGGAAGGGAGAGGGAGAGGGAGATAGAAACATCAATGATGAGAGAGACTCACTGATCGGGTGCCCCCTGCATACCCCCTACTGGGGACGGAGCCCACAGCCTGGGCATGTGCCCTGACCAGGAATCGAACCACAACCTCTTCCTTATTTGTAAAAGGGTGAGGAGAATTTCTCAAAGGGGTGTCTTGGGGTTCATGTGGGAGATTAGAGGTAAAAGGACCAAAGGCCTCATGTAGCTGTGGCCAGGCTCCCCCAGATTTCTTTGGGTGCTCAGTCAGGCGAGTCAGATGGAGGTCCTACCTGCAGGGAGCATGCCGCCCGGTGGGGGGTGCAGGTGAGCCAGGAGCCGGGCCTCAGCTGAGGAACCCAATGCCCTGGTCCAAGAGGGCGTCTGCCATGGGTCCTGGGGGTATGATGGGATTATAACAGGTGGAGATGGAGGAGGAGTGTAACAGGTGCAGGGTGGGGGCAAAGGTCAGAGGCAGGAGGATGGCGTCAGGTGAGCGTGTCTGGTTGGATCCCGGGAGCACTGCTGCTGGGGAGTCCCGGGAGAGGAGGCCCAGAGGCAGCTGTGTTCAGTGTGGGCGGCCCTGGACCTGCGGGACAGTGTGTTTCAGGCAGTGGGAGCTGCTGCGGAGCTTTGGGCCGGGGCAGAGGGACGTGGAGGCCAGTGGAGAGGCTGTGGCAGCAGCCTGGGTTACCAGGGACGAGGGCCAGGATCTAGGTGACAGGTGTGTGGATGGAGTGGTGGGAACAGATGCAAGAGAGAGGACAGTAAGACCCCCGTGCCCTCCCCTCATCCTGGCCAGGCCCGGCTGCTTTCGTTTAAGTGGAGGGAATGGTTGTCTTGGCTATTGTAGAGATACGACCGCTGCAATAAATTGCTGAATTTCCCAATTATGCTGTTAGTCAGAGACCTTAACATGACCGCTCTAGCTTCTCCAGGCTGAGGGGCTGTGTGGGGACCCCGTGGTGGCCGGGAGCCCTGGCCGCGGGACCAGAGACCCCCCTGGCTCTTCTCTCAGGCCCGAGGCTGAGCAGAGTCCTGGGCCCGGGGAGAGGAGCCCATCCCGGGCGGCGTCTGCAGCCGGGGGCGCGGGGGCCTCGCTGCAGAGGGTCAGCGAATGACCCCACCTCGTCTTCAACAGCGGCGGCAGGTGTGTAGCCCCGACCGCGTCACGCTCTACGGGCTGATGGTGAAGCCCATCCAGAGGTTCCCGCAGTTCATCCTCCTGCTTCAGGTACCACCGGGGCTCTGCAGCCACCTGCCTGCATGGTGCGCGCCTGGTGGGTGGGGGCTCTCATCTGTCATCTGCAGTCCCTGCATCCGCTGTGGACTGTGGGCGGGGCCTCTCCCCCTGCCCCGCCCGCCTGGCCCCTCCTACTTCACTCCTGGAGTGGAGCTGATCAGATTGGGAGCGAATTTCCCACCTCCCCATGTGGAATGCCGAGTGGCTGGTGGTGGCCCAGGATTCTGGAAGGGAATGAAGGCATGTGGAACCCAGGACCTGTGGGCTCTGGGCAGGAAGGAGATGCTCAGGGAATGAGCTGACCTGGGCCACTTCAGGCTTCACAGGAAGCAAGAGGCCCCCTCCCCGCGAGTCCTGCCCCACCCCATGCCCAGGGCCCGAGACCTTGGGGCATCTCTGTCACAGGTGAGCCTGGGCCCAGCTGGGAAGGAGGCTGCCAGCCGAGGGCCCAGCAGCGTCCTCCTTTCTGTCCTCAGAGCTGCCAGCTGGGGAGTGGCTGTCAGCATCGGTCATCAGGGATGGGTCCACATGCTTGTTATTTTTCCATTCATTCGCTGTTCCTTGAGCCATGCTCTATGCCAAGTCCCACCTGTCCTGGCTGCAAGCTGAGCCTTTCAGACCGGTCTCCAGGGTCTCTGTAGGGGTGTGGAGGCTGAGGCTCTGACCCCAGCCAGGGGGGTCTGCTAGGGTGGGGTTCTCAGCCCTGGCTCTCTCGGCCCTGGCAGGACATGCTGAAGAACACCCCCAGGGGCCACCCGGACAGGCTCTCGCTGCAGCTGGCCCTCACAGAGCTGGAGACGCTGGCCGAGAAGCTCAATGAGCAGAAGCGGCTCGCTGACCAGGTGGCCGAGATCCAGCAGCTGACCAAGAGCGTCAGCGACCGCAGCAGCCTCAACAAGGTGAGTGCCGGGGGCGCCCCACCTGCGTGCATGCCCTCACCTGTTCTGCAGCCTTGATCACCTCCCTGCCGTCTGACTGGTGGCCACCACCAGGTGGCAGTGTTCTCAGAGGGAGGGGCTTCCTGGCTTCTCTCTGCGCCCACAGACCTTACCTGGAGGATTAGTCTCACTGGACCCCCACATTCATTACTGTTCGTGTTACTTTAGGATAAAGGCTCATTTTGTTCATTCATGGAATTGCCGGTAAAGATATGGGAAATGGTAGCCTAATACTGTGCTTGAGCAAGCGGGCTCTGGAGTCAGAGTTCGGGGTTTGGATCCTGATTTTGCTACTGGTGTTCACTGTGTGGCCTCAGGGGAATCACACAACCTCTCTGAACCTCACTTGCTTCCACTGAAAGGAGAATTCAAAGGTGCCTGACCCCCAGGGGCAAATGAGGGAGTCAGAAAAACAGCAGGCCCAGAGTCCTTAATACAAAGGACTTAATACAAATAACATTATCAGTGTTTTTTTAAAAAAGAAGAAAGATGAAAAGTCCATGCTAGGTCTTGGGGTTGCAACTTAGGAATATTCTACACACCCCCCTCCTCCCCCAAAAAATCTTGAAGAACTTTCAAATAAGCCTGTAGAGACCCCTGTTTTTATTTTTTATTTTTATTTTTATTTTTTTTAATTATTTTTATTTTTTAATATATTTTACTGATTTTTTACAGAGAGGAAGGGAGAGAAACAGTTAGAAACATCGATGGGAGAGAAACACCGACCAGCTGCCTCCTGCACATCTCCCACGGGGGACGTGCCCGCAACCCAGGTACATGCCCTTGACCGGAATCGAACCCGGGACCTTTCAGTCCGCAGGCCGACGCTCCATCCACTGAGCCAAACCGGTTTTGGCGAGACCCCTGTTTTTAAAATACAAAGCCAGCCCGGCCGGTGTGGGTCAGGAGGTCATGGTTCGATTCCTGGTCAGGGCACATGCCCGGGTTGTGGGCTTGATCCCCAGTAGGGGGCGTGCAGGAGGCAGCCAATCAATGATGTTTCTCATCACTGATGTTTCTACCCCTCTCTCCCTCTCCCTTCCTCTCTGAAATCAATAAAAACATATAAAAATACAAAGCCAGTACAAAAAAAGTCACCTCCTAGAGCCACCTGTTGGTAGATGTCAGTCCTCTGTGTCCAAGTGGCATGTGACCTCAGCTGCCTGCAAGACCCCAGATCTGCACCCCAGCCTTCACCTTCCTTCACTTACCGGAGGGTAGAAGTTGGCCCAGATGGTTCAGGGTGAGGCGACCCCGCCCTGGGGCACAGTGGCAGGAACATGGGTCGTTCTTTGGGGAAGTGACTTTGTGCTGGGTCATGGGGAGATGTCCAGATCTTTTTTGGGGAAAACTGGGAGCCTTCTGGCTCTGTGGGCCCAAAAGCAGAACTAAGGCCAGTGAGATTTCAGCCACATGGTGAATGTCCTAATAGTACAGGAAGGGTTGTCAGGAAAACAGCCTTTTCCAGGCGGACTGCGACCTTACAGTATATAGTACTCTCTAACCCACATTTTTAAAAAAAATCTTTACCACAGCTTGAGTAACTGGGCTGGGACAAGACAACCTGCAGGGTCCCTTGCAATTCTAAGCATCAGGGGTCCTACATCTTGAGACTCTCCCACCAAATTCAGGCTGCACATGTGTTTTTGGATCCACACAGTAGTTAAAAAAAAATGGAATTAGTTGCCAACATTTGAAAATGGAGAGATATCCCGTAAAATTCAGACTTGAGGGTCTTCCTGAAGGATTGGAAGAGCTAGGAAACCTGTTGGTGTTGGGCAAGGAACTTCCTACATGGTAACAGTCACCTGAGCTGTGGCTTCCCACTCCCCGCAGCACCTCCCCCATCTTCCCAGTGAGGTTCCTGCTGGCCCCACAGGCATCTGGGGTTGCTTCACCTATTCCAGGAGGAAAGAGATGGGGGGAAAGATGGGTAGAAGACAGAGCCTCCTCCTGGGGGGACGTCCCCATCCCTGATTGATCAAGGTGGGCATGAAGGCTGGGCGTCATCCCCTGCCCGCTCCCTGCCTCTAGGCAGGACACCCTTATGGTAGCTAGTAACACCCAAGCCTTCTATCTTGGGATGTCTCTTGAGAAAAAGACTTCAGCCCATCCGTGGCCACCTATGCTGGTATTTAATGGGCTTTGCCCTTTGGAGTATCTTCTTCTGTCCTCTGCTTTAGCTCCTTTTCTGTAACTGGCAGGGTTTTTCTTGCCTCTGCTCACACACCTGTGCAGCCGCCGTGGGAAGAGATTATCGGGATAAGGAAGCCCTTTGCCGTAGCAGTTACTCGGGGAAGAGCCATCTCTTCTATTCTGCTCTGTCCCCCAGGGGGACCCGGGCAGTAAGGAGTGGTGGTCATTGGCTGGAGGTCAGGAAGACCTGTTGGTGTTGGGCAAGGAACTGTAGGCTCTGAGTCTGGTTCTCCACCTGTCATGTAGGGGGTGTCTTGCTAGGTGTGGATGTTGTGAAGAGTTTGGTGGCGGCCGCTGCCGTGCCTTCCCCCTGCCAGGGCCCCCTTGGGCAATCTCAGCTGGGCCAGTGGCTTTCCCCTGCCCCATCACCCAGGGGAAAGCGGAAATGAAACCGGGTGGGCCCCAAACGGAACTGTGCGGCTGTTTCATAATGTGCCTGCTCGGGACCCTCCGGGGGACGCTTGTGCAATATCAGTGTTTTCTTTAACTCTGCCTAAGGGCAGGGGGGTGGTTGCCAGAAGCCCAGGGGACTTTCCTCTTCCACGTTTTGGGTCACGGCACACTTGGCAGTCTCCCACGGGGCCCGCTGTCCTCAGGGTCCCAGGCCTGTCTCCTGAGCGGGGGTCAGCTTATTGGTAGAAGTAGTGGGAGGAGCTTGGCCCCAGCAGTTATGGGGGGAACCCGAGGAACCTCGAATCTTTTCCTTGTGTTCAGAGCAGCAGGTTCCCCCCTGACTCCGATGGCCCAGCCAGGAGCTGGAGGGACAGCGCACGTGGCCTGGCTCCACCCAAGCTGGGTCTCGGAGGTCTCTTCACCTCTGGGATCTCCGTTTCCTCCTCTGGGGATGGGCATGGCCTCGGCACTGCTGCACAAATGAAGTGAGAAGCGGAATACTTAGTGCTGAGCACCGTGGCCGGCGCACAGTGGGGTTTCGTACTGTTTGTTTGGGCTTCTCTGTCGACAGAGACATGTGGTTTTTTGGAGATTGACAGGCATTCTTTCCAGGAGAGGTTTGGGGGGCTCTGCCCTTCCCCTCGGGAGGGTGGGGAGGATGGGGAGGATGACTGTTGCCCTTGGAGTCATGGGTTTTGGGAATGAATTTTGCTGAACCCCTCCCCACTCCCCAATATCCCTATTAATAAAAAGATGTTTTCCCAGGGGGGCCCAGTGCTGGAGGGGGTTCTTGGTGTCCAGGCTGCGGAGAGGCCTGGGGCTTGAAGGTCCTTGGCCACCTCAGAGGGTCACCTCGTTGACCAGCAGACCTGCCCCGCCCTGTTGGGAGCCCTTCCAAGGGGCGAGAGTGGCCGAGGCTCAACAGGTCAGGGTACAGGGACTGGACCAACTTCCAGGCCAGGGGTCTCCCTGCGTGAAACCACACCCCTTCCTGGTGAGCTCGGTCACGACAGCAGCAGCGGGGACAGCTGCCATCTTTGCCGTGTCAGCTTCGTGGGTGCACCCCCTGAACTGTCACAGGGCCGGGGCGCAGAAGGGCCCGCGCTGGGTTCAATGCGCTGCTATCGCTGTCTTGTAATTCGTAGTAACTTTTGAACGAGGGGCACATTTCCATGTTGCTCTGGGCTTGGGAAGTTACGTAGCCACGTCTGCTCGTGCGTTACCTTGGTGACCTGAGCGGTGGAGATTGTTGCCCCACTTGACTGCTGAGGTGTGGGCAGGTGAAATGATCCCCCTGGATGGCTTCCCAGCTGGTGCTCGGGGAGCCGGGGCTGGGGTCCCTGGTGGTGCTGGTCGGGCGGGGTTGCCAGAGGGATGGGCTGCAATGGCTAGCTCACATGAGAGGGATGCTGGCTGCTGGGCCGGGTGGGTGGTCAGAGGACCCAGCCTGTGGCCCTCCCCAGGGCCTCCTGTCACCTGGAGGTGGAGGGCAAGGCCCTGCCTTCTCTGCCTCTCCCAGCCTCGGTCTCCTTTTGGCCGGAGAGCGCTGGGTCTTTGGCACGGTGATGTCTGTGTAACAGCCTGCGTGCTTCTTGGTGTTGACCTTGCCCTGTCCCCCTCCACCAGCTGTTGACCTCGGGCCAGAGGCAGCTGCTCCTCTGTGAGACGCTGACGGAGACGGTATACGGTGACCGCGGGCAGCTGATCAAGTCCAAGGAGCGCAGGGTCTTCCTGCTCAACGACATGCTGGTCTGCGCCAACATCAACTTCAAGTAAGCGGCTGGGGTACCTTGGGGACCTGCTCCTGTCCTCGGCTGGCCCCTCTGTGACAGGGTCTCTCCGCCGGCCCCTCTGTGACAGGGTCCCTCGGCCGGCCCCTCTGTGACAGGGTCCCTCGGCCGGCCCCTCTGTGACAGGGTCCCTCGGCCAGCCCCTCTGTGACAGGGTCCCTCGGCCGGCCCCTCTGTGTCAGGGTCCCTGGGCCGGCCCCTCTGTGGCAGGGTCCCTCGGCCGGCCCCTCTGTGACAGGGTCCTGGGGAGCTCAGCTTACGTTTCTGGTACCCCGGCTTCCTCTCCCATCCCTCCTGGCCTGCTCTGCCTCTGGTCCTGGAGCCAGGAAGCACCTGGAGAGGTCACGGGGGACCCCGGCCTTTGGGAGACAGCTGTCCATTGCACAGTGTGGTTGGTTCTGGTCACTGAACAGCCTCCTGAGTTTTGACCATTTTGAAATTCACGAGATTCTTCCTGTGTCCAGCTGCCCTACTTCCCATGGCTCTTCCTCCCACTGGACCTCAGTGTTTCTCACACGAGCCTGGGCCTGTCCCCCCACTGCCCAGAGCATCTTCTTCCGCAGGGGCCTGGGGTGCTGCTCTGGGGTCAGAGGTTGTAGAAATGCCCAGGGCCGGCTGCCAGGCTGTGCCCGGAGTAGTTGGAGCCCTGGATAGGGTGAGGGTGATTCTTTAGACTAGAATCTGCAGACTTGTGGCCCATGGGTTGCATTAGGCCTTCAGAAATCTTTTGTTTGGTTCACATAAGCCATTCACCCAAAGATGGAAACAATTGTTTTTCTTGAAAATGTGAAGATCCCACATTGCCCAGGGCACATGGGCCGGGTGCTGGTCACGTGTCTCCTCTACTGCTGTTCACTGTCCCATCAGCTGGTTTGCTCGCCTGTGTCCCTTGCTTGGCCTTGTAGGTGGTAGGGATGATGACCCTGAACCAAAGGAACTGCAGCTGGACCTCCCCAGCCGGGCTCCTCTCCGCTTGTGGAGGAAAATCTCTGCTCCCCAGTGTTTAACGCACTTTAAAAACACCCCAGACACACAGTGTGGCCACAATAGCTAAGACCCCAAGGGAAAGCAGCCACCGTGGTGGAATCCCAGCCTGACTCTCCCACCCCTGCCTGGAACCCCCATAGGGTCAGCATGCCCACGGAGCCTGGCTTGATGTCACACCCAGGGTCGGCGGTGCACCTGCCCGTGACCATAGCCAGGGTCATGGAGCAGAGTTGGGGATTGTCCATGGTTGCAGATTCATGCCTAGAAGGGGAGCCAGCAGGGTTGTTTGGGGACTTGGGCACTATTAACCCATCAGATATTTACTGAGCCCTTACTTTGTGCCAGTCCACAGGTAGGGAACTCGGGCAAGGAGGCCTGTGTCCCAGAGCAGAGCGGCAGCCAGCTTATGGCTGGGCTGACTCCCTCCCTCATGCCCGCTCTCCCACACTCTAATTTTTAAGTCCCGTTGATGTCCTAGGTACCATTCTGACCAACACCCTCTCTGCCCACCTGGCATGATGCGAAAATGAGATGGGGATGCTAGTGGCCCACTTTGGGGGGATCAGTCTGGGTGATTTGGGGTGAGTCCTGTGACCTGTCTGAGCATCAGTGTCCTCGTCCAGAATAATAAAGGCTTCCTACAGGGCTGTTGTGGGAATAGGAGACTGGAGGCCAGTGCCTGGCCCCGGAAGCAGGCCCTCCATGGGGTCCCCTTTGCCCACACCTGGCCAGCCCTCAGCAGTCATTCCCTGTAGAAATCACTCGGTAACAGTAACCATCTTTCCCTCCTTGTTTCTTTCCTCAGGCCTGCCAACCACAGGTAGGGGTTTGGGGGCTTTGGGGACACATGATTCTGGATCTGGGGCTGGGGGCTGGGCGCCTGGTGCTTTTGCCTCAGCGACGGCTCCCTGCCCTGCCCGGCTTGATTTTGGCCTGAAGTGTTGTGCTGGGCGGTGAGGTGCCTGGCTGAGCTGATGTGCTGAGAAGGGGCATCTGGGCTGGCCCGGGGCTGGGGTGCTGCTGGCTCTCCAGGCCTCCGTCTCTGTCCCTGCAGGGGCCAGCTGGAGATCAGCAGCCTGGTGCCCCTGGGGCCCAAGTACGTGGTGAAGTGGAACACGGCGCTGCCCCAGGTGCAGGTGGTGGAGGTGGGCCAGGAGGGGCGGCTCCTACGACAAGGACAACGTGCTCATCCAGCACGCCGGCGCCAAGAAGTCCTCTGCCTCGGGCCAGGCTCAGAGTGAGTACCGCCCGCTGCTGCCCGGGGAGCACCTGCTCAGGCTCCAGGGCCCATCCGGGGGCCCCCAGGCCACTGGGCCACTGGGCCCAGAGCTCTTGCTGGTTTACAGCCCCACAAACCCACACCCACACCCCAACCTCTGTGAGTACACGCACATCCCACAGCCACACCTGCACACACTGGACAGGCGCTCCCGGCCCTGCCCACTCCAGCCCCACGTGCCCTCGCACACACGTGTGCACACACGTGCCTGCACAGGCAATGACTTTGAGTCAGGAAGCGTGACTTCCAGTCCCGCCTGGGCATTGCCTGCCTCCCTGAGTGATGTGGGCAGGTGTCACCTCCTCTCTGTGCCTCAGTTTGTCCCTCCGGACAGCCAGGGTCTCAGGTGACACTAATCCTGCCCCTACACCCTCAGGGACCAGGTTAGGGCTTCCTGGCTCTGCTGGGTCCTCCTTCCCCTGTCCTGACCATCCGCAGGCTTGTTTCTGTCTACTTGCCTTTACTCATCGAGCTCAGGTAGCCCTTCCTGAGGAAGCCTGTTTAAATTCCTTGGGACTGGACCAGGTTCTGCCTCCTGGCCCCCACCCTCCCCATGCTCTCAAGGCCGGTGCATTGGCTGCCCGGAGCTGGTTCCAGGGGGTGTTAACAGCCGTTTGCTGAATGAATGAAGGGTGCTGAACCGCAGAGCCAGCAGAAAGGAGCACTGAGCCGGAAGCACCTTCCACGGATTGGGAGAGCGCTTGGCTGCACTCCCTTCCCCCACCGGCCAGGCTCGGCTCAGGCTCTGGGCTCTGTCCATCGCCTGACCCTGGAGGTTGCCTCATGGGGCTGTTGCCGATTCTGGAAACAGGGCGATTGCATCATTTACTCTTGCCCTTGGAGGGCTGGCCGGACAGCTGCGCCCATGTCCAGATGCTGCGTTTCTTCCCCCTGGTCTGGGAGGCGGGCAGGGCTGCCTGTGCAGCAGCCCCTGGGAGGGGCTCCGGAGCCACCTGCAGCCCCAGATCTCCTCCCCCTCCCACCCCCCGACTCTGCCCTCACTCTGGGACTTCCTTCAACCACTGTGCTGTCTGTACTTTGTTCCTGAGATGACAGTCATATGCTGCCAGACCCCCTTTAAGGGGAAAAAGAAATTCTCGTTGAACCCCAGTTGGCCGTGAATGATTTTTTATTATATTGTTATTCAAATGTGTGCAAATCTAAGACTAGGTATAATTGACGCCTTATGCTCAGACCCCTTGAACAACCATAAAACCAAAACAAAAATCACAAATGAGATAAAAATGAAGCTACAAAACCATAAAATTCAAATGAACAGCATTAATGTCAGGGGATGGGTGATGTTGTTTTGC